AACTCTAGATGAGCATTTTAAATGGAAAATGTCTTCTGAACTATCCCCTTCTAGTTCTACATTTTGGAGATCCCACATCTCAGAGATAAGAAGTGGCACAGGTTTCATGTTTACAACCCTTTTCCCAACCATAAGTGACCTTTCAAAAGTATAAATCTGATCAAGGAACTCCCCTTCTTAAAATGTTTCAGAAGCCTTCAATTACTTTAAGGGCAAAGGTCAAAATCTTTCACAAAGACCTCAAAGCTCTGTATCGCCTATACCCTGATTTCCTTTCTAGTATATCTCTTACCATTCATGTCCTGTCAACAATAATGCTCTGTCTTTAATATTTTGAGGTAATTTAGTTTTTCCAGAACAGTATATATTCCTACTGTCTCATGGATTCCACTCCATCAAGTCAATCCTTTTCTTCTTCTTATGCCCTTGGCAAAAGATCCTGCTAACTTCGTATGCATGCATACTTGGAAATACAGGATTTAAGCTTAGAACACTGGTTACTAATCAGTGATCAAATTCATTGCACTGGCAGCAACAGAATAATTACCTTGGTGATGAATATTGTTGTCAGAAATATTATCTGGTAGGTAGAGCTCATTACCTTGATGCCCCAACTGATAGCTCCTTCAGGAGGAAGAAGGCTGATGCTTTGTAGCACATAGTCATTTATTTGTGTATGTGTCTTTAGATGAACTGTCAAGACAGGAAAAGGGTGTGCAGAGAGAGTGCATGGCAGGGCATGTGTGACGGCCAAGTCCCCCACCTCCACCTGTTTTCAGTGGCATTTGTGTAAATTAATACTCACGTAAAGTCTGCTTACTGCATGGCACATAAACAAAGTTTACACTGAAGACCTTTTTTGGAGAGTAGGGGTGGGGAGAGTATAATGCAAGACAGGAGAAGGACAAAAGTTAGCAGCATTATATCTTACAGAATCATAACATTAATCCGTAGCTAGAATAATTCAGCTTCTGACATAACTGTGAATTTGGGACTCCAAATCAAAGGCTGTAAAACAATGCCCCATTGCCTCTCTCCTCTGCTGTATGTGCCTACCACTTCACTCGAAGTGGCTTCCCTAAAGCCCATTTTAGGGCTTTGAAAATCTGCATGAAAAGCTGAGTTCCCTAGGGCTGTCATTACAAAGTATCACAAAATGGGCAACTTTATACAACAGAGTAAATAAATTTTGTTTTTGTAGTTAGGTTCCATCAAGTCAAGGATGACCCATAGAAACCCTTTGAACAGATCTGAAACTTGTCCCATCATATACCACCTCTCTCACAATCTCTGATACACTTGGGCTCATTGCTACAGTCATTGTGTCAATCCTTCTGGTTGAAAGTCTTTCTCTCTTTCACCATCCCTCTATCTTTTCAAGCATGATGCCCCTCTTCAAGGAACAGCTTCTCCTAGTAAAAAGACAAAGCTTTATCATCTGTGCCTTTAAGCAACATGCTGACTGCACCTTCTTTAAGATATATGTGTTGTTCTTTTGACAGTCCGAGGTATATTCAGTACTCTTCTCCAACACCACAACTCAAAGGCATCAATTACATTTCTACTATCCTTATTCATTTTTCAGTTCTCAGATGTGTAGCAGCAAGTGATTGAATAACCATCCTGAATCAGGCACACCTTAGTCTTCAAACCTTTATCATTGCTTTTCAGTATTATAGAGAGATCCTTGACAGAAGACTTGCCGAAAGCAATACATTTCCTAATCATTTGACTGCTGGTGCCGAGGGTTTTGATTGTGGATTTAAGTAAGATGAAGTAATTGACAATTTCAATCTTTTCTCCATCTATCATGATGTTGCCTATTGTGAGAATTTTTGTTTTCTTGATATTGAGATGTAATCCATATTAAACACTGTATTTTTTGTTTTGTTTAATCTTCTGCAGAAAGCATGTCCTCATTTTCAGCAAGAAAGTTGCATCACCTGCATAATGTAAGCTATTAAAATGAGTCATCCTATGATCTGTTCAACACCACCACTAGATAATTTTAGAATGCATTAATTGTCTTACATTTTTGAAGGCTAGTAATGCAAATAAATGGGCCTGAGGGGACAATCATCCCTCTAAAATCTGAAGGGGAAGATTTCCCCTCCCTTAACTCTTCTAGCTTCTCGGAGCCTCAAGTATACTGTGGTTTATGGATCCCAGTTTCATATATCCACCTTTTCTCTGGCCCTGTGTCATCTCTCATTTATAATAACACCACTCAAATTGGATACTCACTCTTCTACACTATGCCCTTAGGTTCACTGACAACTTCTTCTAAGACCCTGTCTCCAGATAAGGTCACATTCATAATATGAAAGGATAGAACTTTAGAGTATCTTTTGGAGGAACTTAACGCAATTTATAACACTGTTCTTTTCCTCTACCCATACACACTATTTCAAGTATCAAGTCTGAGGACATCTGATTTCCAATGGCTATTGATCTTGGTTCATGAGCCACCCACCAGAAGATCCTGTGAAGGCAGGGTTCCCTTGGCATTTCCAAAACACCAAAGACCAGAGGGCTCCATTTGTCATATCTTCCACCTCTACCACATACATTTAATCTACAGAGAAGGCCTCTAACTTTTGCTTATAACCTAATTTCTGCCTTAATAGATGTCATTTTCACGGAGGAGAATGAGTAAGTATTTAAGAGGTTAGGATGTTGCCATTTGAATTCATACAAATGCATACATATAGTTCAATCTTTTTCTAATATCTAACTGAATAAGCTGCTGTTAAAAAATGTAATTATTTTATAGCCACATAAAATTTAGAACTTGTTTTTAATTTAAAAAGCCAATATATTTCTTATAGTACATTTTATGATCTTACTTCCAAAATTCTACGATGAGTCTTGAATTTTGGGTTTGTTTTCTGCATGCTTGCATCATTTATGTCATTGATTTGTCCCCAGTATTCTGGATTATTCTATTGTCTGTTATTTCTATTACTATACACTTTCTAGTTCTACATTCTGAATCTTTTTTTATGATTCTTAGAATTGTTGTTGTTGTTGTTATGTGCCATCGAGTCACTTGCGACTCATAGCGACCCTATGTACAACGGCCCTAAACTCTGCTCTGTCCTGTGCCAATCGCACCATCTCAGATACACCCATCCCAATCACCCCAGTCACTGAATCAATCCACCTAATAGAGGGTCTTCCCCTCCTGCGCTGTCCCTCCACCCTCCCAAGAATGATGTCTCTCTCCAAGGACCAGTCACTCCTTATAACGTGTCCAAAGTATGTTAGACGGAGCCTTGGAATCCTTGCCTCCAATTACTTCCCAATTTATTGAAAAAAAATCATCCAAGCTTGGAGATTTGACATGTGTCACATTTGGTGTTGTTGTTGTGTACTAATGGGTTGTAACAGACCCTTAGCCAATCCTCCAGTGGGCTGTCAGAGGTAGTTAAACACACGACAGGAGGAGATTGCCTACCCTTCTCTTGTGGAGCAGCTGGTGGATTTGAACTGCCTACCTGCAGGATTACAACACAGTTTCTTGCCACTGGGCCACCAGTGCTGTCATAATTGCACATATATTAAAAGGAAAACAGATCTGAAATAAATTGGCTTATCTATTTCTTACCAGTGACAATGAGATCACAACTGTAGGCCGTCTGACTGCAGTTTTAAAATCACCTTGATGTTTAAAACTTCCATCGATCCATATTTCTTTCTTTGCAAATATGTTTTTTTAACATTAAACATTAAACATGCTGTGCTTTTGCTTAAGAAATAGGACAATTCTCACTTTTCATTGGAGTCCTTTGTGGATACTTTGTAGTTTCATTGTGATTTGAGTCCAAAGTTGATTGGATTTTACTTTAAAGATTTGAATATATTTTGTTTTTCAACATTAAGCATGTGTGTGATTTTGATTAATAAACAAGACACCTTTTCTCTCTATATAATTGTCCCTTATTATGTATAGTTTGTAGAATCTTTCTTTCCACTTTGCTGTGAATTTCATCTGTCCTTTGTTTCTCTCTATCCATTTAGCAAGTATGTACCCCAAGTATATATATTTTTCTGACTTACTTTTATTAAAGTAAGCCAGCATTGTCTGAGAGGCACCCAGGCTGGCATGTGTAGCTATTCAGTTTCATACTTGTGCACTGAATACATATGCCACAGTTTATCAGCTCTCTCTCTCTTCCCCCACAACCCCAGCTCTCTTTTTTAAATGAATATCTGGTTTCTAGAGTTTTACTAGTACAAACTGTTTCACAATAGACATTCTTCCCATTTGGTTCCCAGATATATATCTAGGAAGGAAGTTAAAGATTAAATTAAAAGTCAGTATTTTTTTTTCTATAAAGGGCCAAATAGTAAATATTTAAGACTTTGCAGACCATATGATCTCTATGGCAGCTCTCAACTCTGTAGTATTTTTAGTATGAAAGCAGCCATAGAAAATATGTCAAGTAAATGGGCATGGCCATGTTGCAATAAAACTTTCTTTAGAAAAATAAGCCAGCTAGGCAAGATTTTCCCTTAGACTGTAGTCTGCTCATTCTTTGATCTGAGTTCTAGCCTTTTCTGTTCTGGCTGCTTCAAATACTATTGACCTCCCTCTTTAGTCACTTGAACATTCATCTCCTGTGGAACTTGTCCTGTGTTTGAATGTTCACACTTAGGGATCTTCAGGGAGTGGGGTAGAAAAGGGATTGGGAGAGAGACGCGGATGGTGGAAGGAACCAAGGGTAGAAAGGGCACCACACGACTGCACATCACAGGTGAGAGGTGGAACTCTGCTTAACTAAATGCTGGGGTCTCGGGCTATGGCACAAGTGACATCATCACAGAAGCAGCTATGTAGACATCACTAGGCTGTGAGACATAGTAAATCAAACAACAGTTAATTTAGTATGACTGTTTTTATTATTTATTTTAACTGCAGGAATAAAAGTTGGAATTGGCTCCATAAGGATAATTCCCCGAGGCCTGGTCTCTATGCGGCTTCCTTCCCTGGCTCCTGCTTAAGTGGCTTTAGAAGCAAAGATTATTGTCTCTGTGGTCTCAGATGTCATTGAATCAGTGATCTCCACATCCTGGACATGTCCAGGTGCTTTCTCCATCTTATACTCAATGTTGTACCTCTCCATAGTCGCGGCTACAATGTCCGACTCTCTCTCATGAGATGTAATCACTGCTCTTGAAGCAGGGACAACTCCAAAGTTCTTGATGAAAGAGCTGATCCTGCTGACTATCTTAAGTACTAGATCTGAGCGAGTTGTGGAAGATTGGGTCTGCCCCAGTATCCGAGTTGTCCTGGATGCCTTTGGGGTGGGACTGCGGATAATACATTTGTGAGAAGAGGACCTCTGTCCTTTGCCCTTTGTGTTGCTATGACCTCTCTCCTTTTTGTCCTCTCTCCCAGCTCCATGGTTGGCTAAGGACCAGTGGGAGGAGGATTTCTGGGTTGGTTTGTCCCCACCTTTCCTGTGGTGGTGAGAACTTATCCTAGTGGGATTTTTGTCCCTCTTTGATCTTCTTTCCTTTTTTTCCTTCTGAACTTCAATATTGAGCTTGGAGACCCTCTGTCTTCCATCTTGCTCACTCATATAGCCTTCACTTTTCAAGGTCGAGTGATGGGGTAATTCAGCATCCTTTGAAACAGGCTTGTTGGTTGGCACTCCTGTGAAGATCGTGTTCATGCTACTTCCTGGGGAGTAACTGGTTGCCACTGTGTCCTCTACAGATAAGCTTATAGCACTTGCCAAGACCATGTTAGCACTCTCTGAGGGCACAATGGCAGTACCTGCTATGGCCTTGCTGGGTCCTCTACTCACTCTTGGACTCTTGGTGATGACTCCTGCCAAGGCCGCATTTGTCTGTGCTGGCCCTGAGGCCTTGGTGATTGCAATGTTTACAGCACTCTTTGAACGGCCTGCTGTTGTCCCTGCTACTGTAGTTCCCGATGGGGAGCCGGCTCTTGTCCCTGCTAGTGCATCTTCCACTGTGGAGCCTGCTGTTGTCCCTGCTACTGCAGCTCCCATTGTGTAGCTGGTTGTTGGCCCTGCTCTTGAAGCTCCTGTCTTGGAGCCTGTTGTCTCTGCTACTGCAGCTCCCGTAGTGGAACCGACTGCTGTCAATGCTACTGCACCTCCCCTTATGGAACCGGCTGTTGTCCCTGCTACTGCAGCTCCCATTGTGTAGCTGGTTGTTGGCCCTGCTCCTGAAGTTCCTGTCTTGGAGCCTGTTGTCCCTGCTCCTGAAGCTCCTGTCTTGGAGCCTGTTGTCCCTGCTACTGCAGCTCCCATTGTGGAACCGACTGTTGTCAATGCTACTGCAGCTCCTATTTTGGGGTTGGCTTCTGCTTCTGCCACTGTTGCTCCTGTTGTGAAATCTGCTATTGTCCCTGCTATTGCTGCTCCCACTGTGGGACCTGCTGCCGTCCCTGTTTCTGATGCTATTTTGGCAGGCCTTGGCAATTCCATGGCTGTAGAAGAGGTACCAGACATTCCATGAGAAGGCTGCTGGATTCCAATTCCTTCTCCTCCTGCATAAGCAGAAGAGGTAGCTCCAGACACCTCTTGGAACTTGTGAAGCCTGCTTTCATCCCGAACCCCTTCTGCATCGAGATCTGCAGTCTATGCCAACAGGAGGGGGGAAAAGGTGAAATAGAGAAGATGAAGTGAGTCTCATTCATCTTAGTGCTGAGCAACTCAAGGACATATAATTAGAAGAATCTTTGAGATCCTCAAGTCAGAGCTCCCATTTTTTTCGAGAATCCTAGCTCTATAGCATCTTCTGTCAAATGGCCCCTCAGTGTTGTTTAAATAATGCCAATGCCAGGGAAAGCATTAATTCACCTCCCTATCATTGTACATTTTTATTTTACACACATGTGTTTCTGTCTCTGTAAAATGTGATTTTTAGAAGTAGGCTTGCTGAGTGAAGGGATGTATATATTCTGCTTTTTCCCCTTTTATTTAGTGGCTACTAACAAATCGTGCACATGTATGGCTGCTTGTGCACCAGTGGGTTGTACTGATTGTCCTAAAAATTAATGCACGGCAGCAGTAGGGCAACAGATCATGGCTCAAAGGAAGAAAGAATTCCTTAATGTTAAAAATACACAGCATTAGTAAAGTGTCCTAACAGATTGGAAAATCAAGATGTTGTAGAGGGGATATAGGCAAAAGGATGAGACCAGATGTCTTGAAACTGAGTCTTGTGCAATACATTGGAGAAGCACTCAGGATCTCTCCAAAGCAGGATTTCTCTTATGGGTGGCTTACCTGGCCCTAAAGACCAAACTCTTTACCATGGGCCCTACAGTAAGTAATTAATGGAAATTCTGTGTTACAGAGTAGACTGCTCCTTAGGGTGTTCCTGGCTTTAAGTTTCATGGTCTGAAGCTATTCCAGCTGTCACTACTCTCCCTGACTTTCTTCTAGATCGCTACTGACACCTTAGCTTTGGAATCAAGGACAAACCGTCTGCACACCAGCCACGGGTCTATTAGGGAGCTCCGGTGGCATAGTCCTTAGGGAGCTGCACTCCTAACCTAAAGGTGGCATCTCTTTGGCAGCCTGAATCTATAATTCCTCAGGAGAAAGATAGGTAATCTCCCCCCATGTGACTTATAGACTTGAAAACTCACTGGACGGACAGATAGGAGCAAGTTCTGACTAAATAGCAATGAGTTTGAGAGTACTAGGGGCCTATTTGACATTTGTATATTTTTAAATGCAGTGTAGTTTTCAGTTTAATCCCAGGAAAAAAACTACAGGCTTTATAGGACAACCAGTATTAAACTGCATTCCCAAAACACCCTGTTGTGATTTGATCTTTCCCCCTAGAAATGCTTACCATTATGCTTCTATTGTCATCTGTCAAGCATTTCGATGTATTTGCTAAATCCCCAGTTTGGACAGATGGGGTACTGCTATAATTCTTCATTGTTTGTCTCAGGACAAAGACTAGCTTTTCCCAGTAGCAAAAGAGATCCTCACATGCATCTGAAGAGGGGAGCAGCTGCAGGTAAAAGGAACGTCCAGTAGCAAGCTTCAGGCACAGTTGCTGTTTTTCTCGATCGTGTATAGAGATCTTGACAAACTTCAAGGGAAGGAGCCTGGTAAGCTCTAAGGTCTTTGTGGCCTTTCGACTTTTCCTTTTGGTGGGTTGGCTATACCCATTGTGGTCTTCGCAGACTCTCACTGGCCGCGCCAACAACATGACGTCTGGCAGTGGGAGGACTGGGCTGGTAGATGTGATGCTCACGGTCACCATTCGAACATGGTTATATACATCAATCACTTCGCCTTTTCTGCTGATCTGGATAAAGTCACTCGCAAACATTGGCGCATACTTAAAAATGTCATACTCTCCTCCCCTATGGAGTTGTTTCTGTAGATCTCCCATGGAGGTATTGAACACACCCATCGAACGGTAGCCGTTGGTGACGCAATAAGGTAAAACACCTTCATTGTTCATAGTTCTCTTCTTTCAAGACAACTGTGCCAGCTACAAATTGTGTCCAAGAGAGAGAGAGAAAAGACCACTGCCCATCTCCCTCTGGGACTTCTGCCTAAATCACCTTATACTGCTACATTTATCCTCAACTGCCCTTTGTGACCTATCACCATTACATACTACTTTGTTTTGACCCCAACAGGCTACCACCTTAGGTCACTAGCCTCCCCAAACCAACTAATACCTACGAATAATACAGGCTGATCTTAGCCAGTTATAGATGTGGGGGGACTGGGTAGTCTTTTAAATCAACATATTGGGATACATCTTATTTTGGTAAATGTCTTGGATTTGGGATTTTTTTTCACCCCTACTGTTATTGTTATAGTGATCCTCTCCCTGCAGATATTCTGAAAATCCTTTTCTTGAAACTACTGCCAAAGTTTACTCCCTGGGAATAAATTGCTGAAAGTAGACTGTATGCTTCCTCTTAGCTGGGCTGGTGACTAGAATACTTTCCTCTGGGGCCCCAGTGTATAATATCACAGTGCTGGCAGGCATAAAGATCTCATCAGAGTTTCATAATATTGTGGTTTCCAGGCACAGGAGGATTATCCCCCCAATTTTCTCATCTGAGGGAAGTTAATTGAAAAAGAAAAACAAATAGAAGGTCAACAAGCAAAGGAATGCCATGCTGAGGAATAGGTGGACCTACCGTAAGCCATGATATTTTCTGCTGCTCCGTATGCATTTAAAAGACAATTATTAAGAATACTGAAAAGAAGTGATGCCTATCAATTACGTTTTTAGCAACCAGTATTAGACTATGCACTGCCGGAAAAAGGAGAAATCTACCTTGGGGCTAAATAGCCAGAAAGCTCCTTGGAAGTAAATGTAGAGAGATTTTGTTCCACATACTTGAGACATATTATAGAAGAAAGTAGTACCTAAACAAAGACATCATATGTGGTAAAGTAGAAATCATCAAAAATGGGGGAAACTCTCTAAGGGAGCTTTGGTGGCTTAGTGGCAAGAAGCTTTACTGCAATCCTGACGGTGCAGGGTCTGAATCCACCAGAAGATCCTCTAGAAAAGGAGAGGAAATCTCCTCCCGGGTCAGTCAGATCTGACTGGATGGTACACAACAAGAGGGGGGGAAATATGAAGACTCTCTATGGGCTTAACTATGCATCATCTGTGAGAAGGAAACTAGAGGGACTGACTGAGCAGGGTTTTGTTACGTCATATACGTGTCACTATGAGTTAGAACAGACTTAAAAATCATCTAACAATAAACATTTTTTTAAAAACCAACAACCCAGCAACATAATTTTATGATGAGAAAACAGACTCAAGAGTAATCGTCTTACTCAGAGTATTTGAATCTAGCTCATAAAAATGAACCCACTCATGTCAACAAAACTTAATGTATAAAACCAATTCAGTGAGTCCTTACTGCCCAAATCAATCGTCTTTCTTCATTCTATAAATAAATAATCCTTGGTAGGCCTGGTGATGCTATAATATGACACTGAAACGTTGTCAGCTGCTTGCCTTATTTACAAGTTTTTTTCATATTTTTTTTTCCTTAACAAGGAATGTTGTGACAGATGTCTAAGCTACGATACCAACTTGCAAGAGTTTACAGACTAATAGGAAAACACACATTGAAGAATGAACAAAATAGGAGAATGAGTAAATAAATGATAGAGTAACGGTGAACAAATTGAATGAATGACCCCCTAATAATCCTGCATTTAAAACTGACAAGAATTGCTTTGCAATGTTGGCCTATATTACAGTTATGTGCCATCAAGTCAGAACCAGCTCAATACCAAACCCCCAGCAAGTTTTCAGATGATGTAAAGAGGACAAAATAAAAAGTTATAATGAAATGTACAAAGATCTGCACTCAGAAAATTGAAAAAAAAAAAACAACAAAACAACAAACCAAAAACAAAACCAACTCACTTAGCATTTCTCAAGCTAATGAAGAACAAATTCAGGCCTCAAGTTGCAATCCTGAAAAAACGCAGTGGGTACAATCTTGAATGCTCTAGGAAGCATCAAAAGGAAGTGAAAGGAATACACAGAATTGTACCAAAAGAATTGGTTGGCACAGAAAAATTCCAGAAAGTACCATATGAATAAGAGCCAATGGTTCAGACAGCACTGAAGGCACTGGAAAAAGATAGGGCCCTAGGAATTTATGGAATACCAATGAACATGTTTCAACTAACAGATGCTGCCCTGGATGTGTTCACAAGTTTCAGGAAGCTTGGAGGAGAGCTACTTGGCCAACTGACTGGAAGTGATCCATAACTGTTCCCATTCCCAAGAAAGCTGATCCAAAGGGATGTGGAAACTATCAGGCAATATAATTACTATCTTAAGTAAGCAATATATAATAAATTTGCTTGTTGTTGTTATGTGCAATAGAGTTGCCTGCGACTCATAGTGACTCTACGTACAACAGCCCTAAACCTGTCGCATCTTGTGTCAATTTCACTGTCTCTGACACACCTTTACCCATTACCCCTCTTACTGAATCAACCCACCTCAT